CCCCAAAACCCCAAAACCCCAAAACCCCAAAACCCCGTAAAGCAATTCAAATTGAGAATAAAAACTAAATCTAATGATTGTCAAATTAAAGGTAAGTGCATCTTTAAATTAAAAGTGAGTGAATTAGTTCAAACGATATCATTCTGTCTATTCTTAAATTGACCAACAACAACTGTGATGTCATCCATCTTTCCTCCCTGATATTCCTTCCCAGCTTCTTTAGCATGTTTTGCAAAAGGCGAGAAATGTGTTTCACTGAAAGAAACTTACTCAGCTTTTGCTGCAATACACTCGGCAACAGCTGTAGGATCTACTTCATAATTCTAGCCAATGATTTAAGTTTAGATGCAAGATTAGATATCATTATTGTAAAGGTTATCAAATAAACCATCTGAACCTACTACTAAGATGTCATTATCTTTGAGTGTATGTTCTTGAGTTTCAGCATCGCTAGTAGGGTCACCATTAGTTCCGCATTGAAATGGAAAATCGTAACCATGCTATTGCTCCTTTGACCTATAGTATAGTTCTAGTTATTGATCAACTACTCTGAAAATAGCATAACCAGAATCTCCTAGATTAGCTGTGTTCAATACATCAGGTCTTTGAGGGTCAATTTTAAGTAATACAGCAGTACTGCTGCCTTAGTTTGTCACTTATACTAAAGCTTTTTCTAATAGTATCTTCAATTCCAAATTAGGGTCATTTTTATGCTCTTGCTCAATAAGTTTTATGAATTATTTAGTGAAAAGACCAGGGTCAACTCCAACTTCATTCCAACCTCCAACACCATCAAGAACTACTAATAGCTAATCATCTGCATAGCAAGCATCTTCTCCACCCTTATATTTTTTCTCAATATGAGGTATCATTTTAAATCCATGTCTAAAATATGATTGTCTTCTTTGTTGCTCTTATATTCCCTCGGCTTAAGTCAGAGATTGAATCAAATTTTGATGATGAATTTTAAATCCAGCTAATGCACTGAAAGTAGTAAATAGAAAGAAAAGGTTATGCTTCATGGTTCTTCTTCCAAGTAGGAATTGTTTAAAATACTGAGACATTTCCTAGAAATTAATTAGTAAAATTGATACATTTTAATAAGAGTCATGATTTAATAGAACAAGGAATATAAAAGTATATTTAAATTCAAATTTTAACAAATAAGATTAATTAATGGAGGAATTCAAAAGTGTTCAGTGGGATATACTGATTGATGACTTACAGTAGCAATCTAGAGATGAATTGATAAATACAGTTATAACTAAGCAGAATGAAATAGAGGTCCTCAAATTTGAAGTATGAATTCATCTGTGTTCATATTTGCTAGATTTAAAATTTACATCATGAGAAGCAAAAAGCTTTCAATCAAATTAATGAGTAAAGCATTGAGAATGTATTCGAGAAGAAGTATCAACACTATCTAAAGGAGAGTCTCAAGAAAGACTCAATTAATATAGAGTTCCAAAACAAGCTTAGCTACTGGTCTGCTTAAGAAGAACTTAAAGTCTAGTCTCTTATAAAGGTATTTAAATTATACTCAAAATAATACTTATCGAATTTCATTTAGGAAGCAAATAAGAAAAGAAGAAATGATATTCAAAAATTCTAAGATTTCTTACAAAATATCAGTAAAATTCTAAATGAAAATATCAGTCCATAATCACTTCACTCTACATCCTAAAAAGGCACAGAACTTTAACCAGCTAAAATTACAGTCAAGGAAGTTGAGGATATAAGTGATTAACTTTAAGAAAATCCCACAGTATTAATGAATCCTGGCATAGATGACTATGACTCCCTGCCATACAGCACCTGTAAACCTCCTTAGATTTTATCCTAAACTTGTATATTTTTCTATTCAATAATGTTTTTATTTTAGAAAACCTTTCTGCTTACTAGCAATTTTTCAAAAGAACTGGTCTTTCTGTATTAAATCTTGCTTCAGATGAGTTGAATTTCTTAAACACTCAAGAAAATATCAAGAACATATTGCGAGAAAATCTACATTCATAATAGAATACTTAGTCCTAATCTAGATTGTCAAGTACCCAGTATAATACCCCTAAAAATTTCTCAAATCAAGTGAATAAAAAGAGATAACTAAATAGAGATGATAACAAGGAAAATATTTTACTTTTGAATAATTTTAGGACTAACCCTAATCCTTTAAAGAAGTCTGTCTCAAAAGAAAACATTAAAACAATGGGTAAACCTAAAAAAGCAGCTATATTAGTAAACTCATCAAGTCCTGGCGAGAAAATGGAGCAGTCTAATAAGATCTAGAGAGTAAATAATTTTATTCATAACTAGAATGCAATGCTTAGGAAAATACTTTCACCTGACATCACTCCTCCACTATCTGATGAAGAGCTTGATAACAATCATCATGGGCTATATCAAAGTGAATGTGTCAGAGACACCTTTGAGAATAAGGAGCATGATCGTATCAATAAGCCAAATGCAATTACGTAGTTTAAGGTTAAGAGGCAACAAGTTGATGAAAAATAATATTCGACTAATTAATCGAATAAGGTTGATGAACTTTTGAAGGAGCTTCTCTAAGCAATATAGATAGGCATTTAATAGCTTTCAAATAAACTGAGGAAAATGAAGGCTAAGACTCATAATGAAAAATTTAAGCTCGATGTCGGTTGTTTTAATCAATAATTCAGTTTAAATGAGACAAATGAGCAGATAGCATAAGATCTTTTGAGGTGCTCAACGGCAAGCTTGACAGATAAAGAAGCAATTACTTAGTATTTCTATAAAAAATTGGAAAATAGCAAACCTAATAATAATGTTAATGTCGACGACCTACTCAAAGTTACATTTATTGAAAATCAAGACTAAGATTAATCATCACTTTCATGTCTAAGGAATGTGGAGTTAGGATCCTAGCTCTAAATACAATATATCCATACCCCTGATAAATAAGAAGAAGGGGAGTAGATAGTATTGCAGACATTATCAAATGAACATTAACTATATTCAGAAAATGCTCTTAACAATGCTTAGAGTTTTAGTTTAATGACTGAAGAGAAAAATGGGAAGCATACATATGGGTAATCTTTTATTAATATCCTTGAAGATTTCAAATCACAGCAAGAGAAATCACCTCAAACCTATAATACTTAAAATGATCAAATCTTGTTTTCACAATAAAAACCTAATAACTAAAATATGATACTTGCCTGTTCCCCCATTAATCTTTAGTAACTGCACAGCGGAAATATCAGCTACAATGAGGATATTAAGGCGTTCATCAGCAATAATGATTCTTAGATTTTCAGTGTAAAAAGAAAGCTTAATATGAATAAAAATGCAATCACTGAAGGACTTAAAACTGATTTAGATGATCAATCTTTTATGTTTGGGGAAACCTTTGGAAATAACAATAGTCGCCAATAAGATGATGATGAAGAGCACAGCTAAAATATAATTATGCTAAGGAAACAAATTTCAAATAAGAGTAACTATTAGGACAAGCTTTAGATCCAAAGCTTCCTTTAGAACTACAATTCCATAAGTGGTGGCTTAATTAACATTGAAGGCAAATTAGACAATGACTACAGTGATTCATAGTCATCAGTCCTCTCCAATAACTTAGTTTAGCAATTCAATGATTAAAACATCAACTTCCAAAACTTCTTCGTTTATTAGAACTGTGATGACAGCTCTTAGTTAAAGATATCAATCAGAAAGAGTATCGCCTAACCACCTTCAAGTAGATCAAACAACAGATACATTAACTTTGAATCCTACATGGAAATTGAGGAACATGATTAAAGTGATAGAGAGGTTGATATCACCTGTATAGTCAACCCTTCTTTCAAAGAAAAGTAAAATTAAAGTCAAGATGAATATGGAATAGCCTCTATTAAAGAGGATTAAAAAACTTCTTATGTCTCTTGCAACGTAAGAAATGATAGTCTTGATCACAGCATGATTTAGACAGAGCATCAAATTCTCGGCATCTCCCCTAACTTTAGTTTGAAGGAAAATATCAATCCAAACAACTTCAAAGCTCAGAGTAAGATCTTGATGTTCAAGAGACCTCTCCAAGGTTAAAACAATAATGCAAATTAATAACTATGATTGAAACAATAATTGAATAACTAATTGATTGATTTAATAATTCCATACTTATCCATATGGCGATATTTGGATCAAAGGGGTTTTGGGGTTTTGGGGTTTTGGGG